AGCAAAGGAGAGAGGGGCCCTGGGCTGGAAGCCTGTCTCGAGCCTTAGGCTATAAAAGGGCAGAGTTGTGTGCAGAAGGAGCAGCTGGGCCTTCATCTGAGCTAAGGCCTGGGGTGCTTGAGTTCAGTCCTCAGCTCTGACACTGACTGGACAGCAACCTTGGTCGCATCACTTAAGCCTTACCTCATTACCCCCATTAGTAAGTGCTGGCAGGTGGGAGTGTAATATTTATCTGGCTCATAGGGAAGAGGGAGGGGGCATTGCTAAATAGCTCAGCACTATTCAGGGATTGGGCTGAGGGAACACAGCTTTCTAACTGTGCTGTTTTATACATGGGGAAACTGAGGCACAGCCATGGTAGGACTCAGCCAGAGTCACTTGACACATCCAGGCCTGAGCTAAGCACACCCCATCCTGTGCTCTCCCCTTGTGGGCACACCTAAAAATACATGCTTCATCCACCCACCTGTCTCTTTCCAGAAGCTGCTGCCATTGCTTAAGGTCTTCCCTCCCCCCTCACTTGGCAGGTGCAGCCCACGATGGCACAGTTCGAAATGGACACATTTGCCAAGAGCCACGACCACATGTCCAACTTCTGGAACTCCTGCTACGACGCCCTGATGAGCAGCTCCCTGCGCAGGGAGCAGGAGAAGGCAGAGAGCAGGAAGAAATTCCAGGTAGGCACCTGCTTGCCCAGACAGGACCCACTGAGGCCCAGCTCTCTCACACCCTGGGCCTGCTTTCAGACCTGACCCATGCCCTGTAGCATCCGCCATCCTTCCCAGAGACACCCAGAGGGTGCCCCTGCCTCTTTCTGACCCTTGCATCCTGGTCTCTTGCTAGGAGCTGGTTCTGGAGCCAGTCCAGAAGCGCTCCAAGTACGAGAACATCCGGCACACCAATGTCCTGAAGCAGATCGCCAACCACCACAGCACCGTGCTGAAGCAGTGGAAGTCACTACGTCGCCTGCTCACCTCCCAGCGATCAGCATGGGCCACCCGGTGAGGGGAGGGCACTGGGAGAGGCTGGCTCAGGATAAGGCATGGGAGGGGAGCAATGTGTCTTATTCACCATGATTCCTCCTCAGCTCAGGCCTCAAAGGCAGGCCCTTGACAAGCACACTCAGACCTTTTGCAGTCCTGCTTAGGCCACCTAGGCTGCATTGTCCGTTGCAGGGGGCCTGTTCTCCAAGTCCTTGTTATGGCAGGTACTGCCTGGCCTAGAAGGACTGTGTGGACACATCCTGCTTGCTCAGTGCTCTAAACCATGGCAGAAAATAGAGCCCAAGCCTTAGCCTCACCCCAGTGCCAAAGCCAGACATCCCCACATGATGAAACACTTGCTTCCAGGGATGGGATGCTTGACTCCCAGGCTTAGTGCAGTGTGTTTTCTTTGGGGGTGTAGGGTTGAACTTAGATGACTGCCACCTTCTCACGCGCTGCCTTCCACCCCACAGGGACTCGCCCCAGATGCACTGGAAGTTGTCGAGCGCCGAGACCTACTCGCGAATGCGACTGAAGCTGGTGCCCAACTACAACTTTGACTGCCACCAAGAGGCTAGCGCCCTGCGAGACAACCTAGGTGAGAAGAGCCATGGCAAAGGGAGAGGGAAGAGCTCGTAGGGGCCCAGTGGGATCACTGCTGCAGCATGGCTGCCATCCTGGAACTCTTCAGCCTACTGTAGGTGGCCAGGGTTGCAGATGCTTTGAGCAGCCACAGGAAGGTAGCACTGGGGGGCAGTCTACCATGGATTTCATAATGGGGTGGGGAGCAGTGGGGGGCCTAGGAGGGGAAGGGAGGGACAGCGGGGCATGGCCTTGTGTCCACATGCAGGGAACATGCCCAGATTGGGGATGCTGAGGGCAGGTGGAGGGTCCCAGGGCCCCATTTGCTCACTGCCTCCCCATGGCTTCAGGTGCAGATCATCTGCAGACCTCTGCCGAGTCTCTCCCGCTAGCAGTGGCCAAGGAGGCGAAGGTGAGCGAGCTGGAGGATGACCAGCTGGCGGAGGAAGATCTCGCCATCCTGGACAACCAGTGAGTCCCTTCCACTCCCGTCACTGGCTCCATGGAGCCGGGTCCCCTCCCTGTCACTGGGAGGAACTGGGTATCTCATTGCAGGCCTGCTTATGGGCCTCAGTGCTGCCTTGCATCGTGGTCTCAAATGTGGGACAGGGTGTGGGTAGTGCAGCTTGTTCAGGCTTTCAGGTCACTCAAGCCCTCAAGCTATGACAGCCTTTGAGCCAAGACTGTCACAGGTGGGATTTGAACCAGCAGCCTTTAGGTGACAGGTTCCCTGAGGCAGAGACCTTGTCCAGCCACATCTAGCTCAGTAGGACTTCAGGCCTGAGAAGCAGTACTACCCTCTGCTTGGGTGCTAGCAAGGTGGTTGTCCCCACTGAAGGGAGAGGACCTGGGCAAGCCCCTCATGGTACCCAGCAGCCCTCTTTAGATCAGTCAAGCTGGGACTCTTCCACCCTGGTGCTTGGTGGGAGCTTGGGCTGGGTGGAGGGAGAGCTGGTAAGCTTGCCTGAGGGTAACTTGGAGCTGCCACCCTTGGCAAGGACTGCTATGATGTCTGAGACTGGCACCCAGCTTCAGATCAACTCATTCGCTCTCCTGGGTCACAGTAAGAGTTGGACCTGGAGGCTGTGGGCTAAACATGGTAAGGGGAGCCCAAGACCAGGCAAACCCACTAACCCCCTGCCCTGCCTCCCTTTCCAGCGCTGAGCCCAAGGAGCAGAGCCAGAGGGAAAAGCTGGTTATCTCGGAGGACTGCGAGCTCATCACCACAGTGGCTGTGATCCAGGGGCGGCTGGAAGTCACCACGCAGCACATCTACTTCTACGACGGCAGCAGTGAGAAGGAGGAGACTGAGGAAGGTAACACAACCTGCTCTGAGTTGCCCCAAGACCCTCTTCATTAAAATGCTGGGTCTCACTTATAGCCTGAATTTGGCATCAACAGCTACTGGCTCTTGTTGTGGCTTTGCTTGCCAGACAGGAGAGTCCTGTATCATCCATTGTCTGTTCCCTGAAGAGCCTTAGGTGGGGATCAAATGACTTGTTAAGCTTCCCTCGGGTACCCTTCATAGATTGAGCTCCCTGAGCCCCTCACTCTGAGGCTGGTTTTTTCAGTCCTTTCCCGAGGCAACACAAGGATGCAGTGGCAGAACCAGTTATACAACCCCAATCCCTCTGGGCCGAGGCCTCCTGAGCCCCCAGCCAGTGCCTTAGCCACAGGTCTGTTGTGTTTTCGGTGCGGTTACTCCTGGGGATGATGCTGGTGGTAGGTTCCAGAAGACAGGACCCCGTGTTCCTGAAATCTGTCCCCTCCATGTCATGACAGATTGGTGCCTGGATGATAGGCTGGTCAGCAGTGTTTGTACTGCAGGGATGCAGGCTGTCCTCACTGTACCATACATATAGGAGCACAGGGCTAGAAGGGGCCTGCTGGGCCCCATCCAGCCTTCTCCAAGCAGAGGCAGCCCTTTAGCCAGAGGGTCCCCAAAACTGCCCACTCCACTTGGACTACAGCCACCAAGCACCCTCTAAAAGCCCCTGCAGTGTGCCACAAGCCAAGAGCAGGGGAGGCAAGGGCAGCACCAGTGCTTTGGTTACTGTGACAGCAGGGTTTGGGTTTAGACCAGCAAGCCCCATGCTGCAGAGAAAGCAGCAGCCAGTCTGACCCAGGGAAAAATTCCTTCCTGCCCCCACATCTGGTTTGGCCTCAAGCATCGGAGCGAGACCCACCAGCCAGGCCATGTTATGAGCATGGGTCAGACCCCCAGCTCTAGCCCTGGTCAGGGTCAGGGGCAGTGCAGACACAGGTGAGGAGGAAGAGTGATGGCTCTGCTGCTTTCTGCCCTTCCCTCAGGGATCGGCTATGACTTCAAGCGCCCCTTGTCCCACCTCCGGGAGGTGCATCTCCGACGCTATAACCTCCGCCGCTCAGCACTGGAATTCTTCTTCATTGACCAGGGCAACTACTTTGTCAACTTCAAGAAAAAGGTCAGAACCTGCTCCTGCCTTTACTGTCCTCAAAATGGGGCTCCCTGGGTGTCCTCCCTTCCCTTAGTGATGTGGAAGCATAGTTGGGGGCATAGTTTGGGCATCAGCATGGGGATGGGAAACACCCTGCTCCTGCTGGGGCCATCTGAGGGGTCCTGGTGGTCAGTAGAGCACCTGCAGCACATTAGCACAGTCCTGGGCAGGTCACCCTTTGAGGGCTTGTGTGCTAGCTCCCTGTGTTCCTTAAATCAGACAAGGGGATGCAGAGGGTTCCTTGCAATAGGTTGAGACAGGGAGTCCATTGTGCAAAATGGTAAGCCCATGGCACTGGGTGAAGTACCCCTTCCTATGGAGTTTCTCCTCTGGGATGGGCAACAAGATGGTGTCCAGTTGGTGTGTGACCCTGGCACTTCCCATTCTCCCCCTCCCCATCATCCATCAGATATGAGACAATGGGCATCTTTCCCTTCTCCTGTCTCCCAGCTGGGTGCTGGTCTCCACAGCTCTGTCTCTGTCTGTCTGTGCCCACAGTTCCTCCCTCCTCCTACCCCCATCACTGTGTGTTCCCCCAGGCAGCTGAACCTTAATGCTACCTTCAGCCTCCTAGACCTGTCAGATCCTGTCCATGTCGGCTAATGACAGTGTGAGCAAGGACTCCTTCCACCGCCTGCCCCCACCCCACCTCTGCTTCCTAGCCCAGCTCCTTCTGTCCCCTGACTTAAGTCCAGGGAAGGGTGTTGTCGTGCCAGGACACCTGGGTTCTGCGGGATTCCTGGGCACAGAATCATAGAAAATGAGGGTTGGAAGGAACCTCAGGAGGGACCCTTTGTTCCAAGCAGGACCATCCCCAACAAGACCATCCCAGCCAAGGCTTTGTCAAGCCAGGCCTTAAAAACCTTCAAGGACAGAGATTGCACCACATCTCTAGGGAACCTGTTCTAGTGTTTCATCACCCTCCTAGTGAGAAGGTGTTTCCTAATATCCAACTTTGACTTCCCTTACTACAGCTTGAGCCCATTGTTCCTTGTTCTGTCATCTGCCCCCACCAAGAACAGTCCAGCTCCATCCTCTTTGCAACCCCCCTGCAGGGAGTTGAAGGCTGCTATTCAACCCCCCTTGGTCGTATCTTCACCAGCCTCTCCTGTGCCCCAGCTCCCCAACCATTTTTGTTGCCCTCCGCTGGACTCTCTCTAATGTGTCCACATCATTTTGTGGGGGGGAACTGGACACAGGACTCCAGATGTGGCCTCACCATTGCTGAATAGAAATCACTTCCCTGGATCTTCTGGCAACGCTCCTACCAATGCATCCCAGGATGCCGTTTATCTTGGCAACAAGGGCACACTGCTGGCTCATATCTACCTTATTGTCCCCTGCCCCCCGAGGCCCTTTTCTGCAGGGCTGCTGTTTAGCCAGTCACCCCCAGCCTGTACTGATGCATGGGATTCGTCCGTCCTAAGTGCAGGACTTTGCACTTGTCCTTGTCAAACTTCATGAGATTTCTTTTGGCCCAACCCTCCAATTTGTCAAGGTCACTCTGAATCCTAACCCTACCCTCCAGTGTATCTACTACTCCCCCAAGTTGGTGTCATACACAGACTTACTGAGCATGCACTCCACCCCATCGTCCAGATTGTTAATGAAGATACTGAACAAAACCGGCCCCAGGATCGACTCCTGGGGCACTCCACTTGATACCGGGTGCCAGCTAGACATTGAGCCATTGATTACTACACATGGAGCCCCACAATCCAGCCAGCTTCCTATCCACCTTACAGTCCATTCATCCAACCCATACTCCCTCAGCTTGCTTGCAAGAATTCTGTGGGAGATGGTATCAAAAGCCTTGCTAAAGTCAAGGTATATCATGTCCACTGCTTTCCCTGCATCCACAGAGCCAGTCATCTCCTCACAGAAGGCAGTCAGGTTGGTCAGGCATGATTTGCCCTTGGTGAATCCACGCTGACTGTTTTTAATCACCTTTTCCACCAACTGCTTAGAAATGGATTCCTTGAGGATCTGCACCATGATTTTTTAAGGGACTGAGGTGAGGCTGACTGGTCTGTAGGTCCTTGGATCCTCTTTATTCCCTTTCTTAAAGATGGGCACTACCTTTGCCCCTTTCCAGTCATCTGGGACCTCTCCCAATCGCCACAAGTTTTCAAAGATGATGGCCAGTAGCTCTGGAGTCACATCATCTAACTCCCTCAGCACCCTCAGGTGCATTGCATCTGACCGCATGGACTTGTACACATCCAGCTTTTCTAAGTAGTCCCTTACCTGTTCTTTCACCACTGTTGGCTGCTCCCCTCCTCCCCAAACTTGCTGCCTGGTGCAGTAGTCTGGGAACTGACCTTGCCTTTGAAGACCAAGGTAAAAAAGACATTGAGCACTTCAGCCTTTTCCTCATCCTCTGTCACTAGACTGCCTCTCCTATTCATTAAGGGACCCACACTTTCCCTGACCTTCCTCTTGTTGCTAAATAAGACCTGGGCCAGGCTCCTTGCCCCTCTGTCAGGCAGGAATTGATGCTATGCTCCTCCTTTATGCATGGAGGTGCTTGGAGAGAGGCATGCTGTCAGTGTAAACCCTTTTGGACAGTCTCGCTTGCTACCACTGCTGTCCCATTCTCACGGCCGCTCCACGCTTCTGCTTGTGTCTCCACAGGTCAGGAACAAGGTCTACTCCAGCATCCTCGGCCTGCACCCACCCAACCAGATCTACTTTGGCAGCCGGTCACCCCAGGAGCTGCTCAAGGCCTCAGGGCTGACTCAGAAATGGGTCTACCGGGAGATCTCCAACTTCGAGTACCTCATGCAGCTGAACACTATCGCAGGGCGCACCTATAACGACCTGTCCCAGTACCCAGTGGTGAGTTTGCCCCTCTCCCCTCCCACTCTCCTGCCTCCCCAACTCCTATTGAAAACAGAAGCTCAGGGCTTCAGACCTTAACTTATCCCTTGTTGACTGGGATGACTCCTCTTCTGCTCCCCTCCTCTGATTATCCTACTCCCTGCTTCAGCCCAGCTCCCTGCCATTGCTCTCTGCTGGAGTCCCCTCCCCTCGGGGAGCTTTTTCCTGACTTTTGTGTCACTGTAGAATTAGCAGCTGGTGAAGGAGCCTGCTCCCCCTGAGTATGTTGGCTAGGCCATGATTTACTCTGGGCAGATCCTGTCCTGAGGCTCAGAAGTTAGGGAGCCCCCACAGTGAGCAGCCTCAATAGAGGACACTGAAAATCTGGGTCTCCTTTGACCATCAGTCCCCTGCCTTCCTCCCGAGGGCTTTGGTAAGCTGACAGTGCCTTAGGAGTCTCATTATGGTGGCAGGTGGCTGGTGTTACCAGACAGTCAGTCCTGTCAGTGAGCTTTCCACCAGGCAGCTAAGCAATTGGCAGGTGTTAATTCATCATTTAGGGCATCAAAAGTCAAAGTCATCTCAAGCACCTTGCGTTGACAGCTGTCATAAGGACACTCGGGTGTTCCAGTCATGGAGTTTGCATAGTGTGACTGTCTGGGCACATGCCCCTCATACACCTAATTTCACCTGTATGCTGAGGGGAGCACCTAGACCTGGGGCTTCCTATAGGCTTGCACAGCACCTGGTGCAAAGAATAGGACAGTCCCTGCCCCAAGGATCTTGCTGTCTAAAGACAGGTGGATGAGATGCAGTTCCCTTAGTCTAACGTGGTGGGAAGTGCCCTTAATGTCCAATGTTCTCAGATGGCTAAGGGGTGGGGGAGACGGTGTGAAATTGGAGGAGTTGACCACTTCATGTCCCTGCATTGGGAAAGGAATCCCCCAAAGCAGAGAGTGCCTGCCTGTGTGAGCAAAGGAAAGGAGCAGCCCTTCTGCATCAGCTGGGCATCTGCTGAAGCCAACTGCACGCTCTCTGCTCCCACTCCCATGCTCCACTGAAGCCTGCCACTGTCCCTAGCCCTGGTAGGCTGGGTGATGGGTGGAGTCACCGCAGGATCTCTCACTACCTCCTCTCCCCTCAGTTCCCTTGGATCCTGCAGGACTACGTCTCAGAGACACTGGACCTGGACAACCCAGCCGTCTTCCGGGACCTCTCCAAGCCCATCGGTTTGGCCAACGAGAAGCATGCCAAGGATGTAAAGGAGAAGTGAGTGCAAGCCCCATGCAGCACTGGGGGTGGGCACCGTGGCAGGGCTGGTAACATCTGGCAGCAGTGCCCTGGGGCTGATATCACAGGGGTGGAGCAGTAAGCATGTCTCCTTTATGCATTAGACCAACACCACTGTGAGAGCACTTGGGGCAGCTGAGGTTTAATTGAGTCCTGGGGCTGCTGGCACCTTCATAATTCCTCCTTTCTCCAGCCGCCAAGTGATCGAGCTTCAAGCTTGGGAGAACATGTCCCTGGAAGAGCTGGGGCATGGAGGCACTGTGGAGGCTTCCTCCTGTGGTAGGGAGAGCCTTCTTCTGCCAGGCCTGAATGCTGCTCCCACATGAAGGTCATATTAGTCCTTTGTGGCCAAGCCTCCTCATCACCAAACCCAGTGCCAAGAAGCCCTGGGCTGGTAGCTTTTGCAGAGAGCCCAAGGACTGAGTGGGCCCTGGCACCTCAGCATTTGCCTTGTCTCTAGAGAAGGCAGAGACCAAATATGGGCCAGGAAGCTGACTGTGCTCCAAGGTCTCCTGGGCAGGTGTCCAGCTCCCTGCCCTGTCTGTGCAGAGCAGAGTCTGGCAAGAAGGCTGTGCCAGGTTTCCTCTGGTGCCAAGGAGGAAGTTCTTGCGCTTGATGAGGTCACTTCTGATGTCACCATGAGCACCTGCAAACCAGTTCTGTCCAGGCCACTGCTACCTGGTGGGCAAATCCCTGCCTCGCCTCCTGGTCCCTTGGTGGAGCAGTAGGTCAGGATGCTTACATCCCCATGTGCTCACACACAAGGTCGTGTAGCCCCTCAGTCTCATTCCTGCCTCTCCCCGCAGGTATGAGAGCTTCGAAGACCCCACGGGTATGATTGACAAGTTCCACTATGGCACGCACTACTCCAACGCGGCAGGCGTGATGCACTACATGATCCGGACCGAGCCCTTCACCACGCTGCACATCCAGCTGCAGAGTGGCAGGTAAGACCGAGCTGGAGGTGCCCACTGTCATAGTTAGGGGAGCAGGGGGAAGGGGCTGCTGGCTCGGCCACCTGCCCTCCCCATAACACCAGCTTGTTCACTCCTGCACTGCTGTCTGAGGCTGGTTCTGAATAAGAATCATCTCCTTCCCTTCCCTCAGGAGGCCATTCCACAGCCTCTGTTAGGATGCCTTCCCCAATGCCTTTTCTTAAATGTGCCTTGTTTTAGTTTCGCCCCATTGCAGAGTCCCTGCCTTGCTTAGTGTCTTCATCCTGCAAACCCGTCCAGAGCTGTCAGTCCCTTCCCCTGGGGTCTAGCTAGGCAGAGACAGCCGCTTCCACCTCTTTGGGTCTTCACCCTTCAGGTATTGCCTCCAGCCCACTGCATTTGTGGATGGCCTCTGCACTTTCAGTACTTTTTTGGGTGTACCCAGAGCAAGAATGTCCCTAGTGTAACCTCCTGAGAACCTGAGAGGAGAGATGGGACTTGATGCCTTCATGGATGCTGCCTGGAGAGATGGCCCCCACAAAAGAGGGCATTTACCTCTTGGAATAAACTGGGTATGGCCTGTACACCTGTGCTGCATCCTCTTATCCAGCAATGTTCAGGACCTTAAAGGGATTATCCAGCATAAAGGAAGTGGGTGGGAAGAGAGGGCTAAATCTTGCCACCTTGGACTCACTGACTCTTCACAACAGGCATTATCCTAGGCAGTTCCCTGGAAGGCAGGAGAAGCTGCTCGTGAATGGAGTTTCTCTTGTTTGCCCCTGCCAAATTCAGGGCTGGCAGGTCCTCTCTGAGCCTTTAGTAAGAGGCAGCTTTGAAGGCTCATTCCCTGACAGACAGGGAAATTGAGGTCCAGAGAGATGGAGTGACCTGCCTCAGAGCCAAGCCCAGACTAGCACTAGGCCATGCTTCAGTTGGGTCCTCTCGCCGGCAGGTTTGACTGCTCAGACCGGCAGTTCCACTCGGTCCCTGCAGCATGGCAGGCGCGCATGGAGAACCCGGTGGATGTGAAGGAGTTGATCCCCGAGTTCTTCTACTTCTCGGAGTTCTTGGAGAACCAGAACGGTAATGGGGGCTCGACGCCCTTGAGCCTAACGATGTGTGTGGGGCATTCTGAGGGGCTTGGGTGTACCCTCCCAGGGCAGCAGAGACCCAGGGCCTTCGTGGGATCTTTGGTAGAGGCTGTCCCTGAGCCTAGCTCTGGTGCCTTAGCTAACGTGGATTTCAACTGGGTCGGTGCCCTCCGTGTCTCAGAGTGCTTGGGGTGCTGTGAGCATCCCCTCTTTGAGACAGAGCCAAGGCACAGCTGGGGGGGGGAGATGGCTCATTGTAGCCTGCAGGGCACTGGCTTCCGAGTGCCCCGTGATCTCATCAGCATTCCCTGTGTCCCCTGTTCGGGTACTGGCCAGCTGGGTGCCTTGTCTCCCCATCCAGACTACAGCATGAGCCGGGGTTCGTGCCTGGGGGTGGGGGTGGCCAGTGGGTCATCCCTGTCCCATCCTTCCCTGGGCCACGGAGCAGGATTGTAAGGCCCCCTCCTGTGTTGTGCTCTGCAGGGTTCGACCTTGGCTCCCTGCAGCTGTCAAATGACAAGGTGACCGACGTCGTCCTCCCAAAGTGGGCATGCTCCCGAGAAGACTTTATATCCAAGCATCGGAAGGCGCTGGTATGAGAACAGGGATCTGTCCTGCCTGAGATCCCTTCCCAGGCCTGCACCATGCCCCTATCTGCCCTTACCCATTCCTGCCTCTCCCCAGCTTGTAGAAGTTGGAGGCATGGGTTGGAGGGAGGTGTGGTTCTGCTTTTTCTGACATGTGTCCCAAACATGGTACCTCACCTCTTAATGCCCCCATCCTGCCTTTGGCCATGGCAGGAATCCGAGTACGTGTCTGCCCATCTCCACGAATGGATTGACCTCATCTTCGGGTACAAGCAGAGAGGCCCTGCAGCTGTGGAAGCCCTGAACGTCTTCTACTACTGCACGTACGAGGGTAAGAGTACTCTCTCACCCCTGGCAGAGCCAAGGCAGGCCAGGGGAGAGGGACTGACTCCACTGTTGTGCTTCCCCACCTGGATCCCTCTCTCTGGATTTCCCAGGAGCCGTGGACCTGGATGCCATTGCTGACGAGACGCAGCGGAAAGCCTTGGAAGGCATCATCAGCAACTTCGGGCAGACCCCCTGTCAGCTGCTCAAGGTAATGGGAACTGGAGGGAGCACATCCACCTCACACAAAGGCAGCAGTATGATTGGGAAGAGGTGGCTGGAAAGCCAGAGTCTGGAAAGTGTGTGGTCATGGGGTTTGAGCAGCCAGGACAGAGCAAGTCCTCTCCTCACTCTTCGAGTGGTATTCATCGATGTCCCACATGCTAAATGCACCAGAGCCAGGCTCCAATCTGTGAGTGCTGTGCCCCAAGCTGCCTTGGGCAGGGCATCTCTCTCCAGCACCTGAACCTTTTCATGGTCCAGGGCAGCCTCCTCCCTCCTTGTGTCAGTGGTCACAAACTGATGCTTAGTCCTAGACTCACTAAGACATTTAGGTCCTACCTTTTTCTGGACCAGGCTCCTAGTGATTAGCTTTAGGGTTTGTGTCTGAGAGCATTTGTGGTGAAAAAGCTGCTTTTTCCTTTGCCTATGGGGTGCTCCGCTCCTGGGATCAGTTGCTATGACCTGTTCCAGAACTCAAAAATCACCCATCAGATGTGGCTGTCACTTCTCAAGCAATGGTCACAGGGGGGCTGAACCATGCCTGGGGCAGGGGCACATCACAGAGATGCGCCATTTGTAAATCACTCTCCAAGAGAACCCCTCAGTGCTGGGACATCTTGATGCTCAGCACTTCTTAGTGAGATTGACATGTCCCTCCATGGCCCTCCAGTGTGTCTTGGATGGGAACTTCTGGGTATTTTTCAACTGAGCATGTTCCCTGCTGCCTTTTCTACCCACGGGACAGAGATTCCCTTCTGGAAGACTCCATCTTTCCCACCTAGAGACAGTAGAAAAAGAGCTCTGGGCTTGCAGAGAGGCAAAAATCTACCTTGCTGGGTACTTCTGAGAGCCACAAACCCTGAGATTTAGAATCATAGAAAATGGGGGTTGGACCTCAGGAGGTCGCATCTATTCCATCCCCCTGCTCCAAGCAGGACCAGCCCCAACTACATCATCCCAGCCAGGGCTTTGTCTAGCCAGGTCTTAAAAACCTTCAAGGATGGAGAGTCCACCACCTCTCTGGGTAACCCGTTCCAGTGCTTCACTACCCTCCGAGAGACCCCATCCTCCTTGAGGAGACAAAGATTGTTCAAGGCCCCAAAACCTGTCTGTCTAATACCTCATCACACACTAAGAATCAAGCAGGCCACAGGGCAGCTATGCTCCTACCTCCAGGCCCGTAGGCCCGTGTTAGACTCAGCTGGGACCTGGCTGAAGTGAACTCATCTTGACAAGTTGGAGCTTGTTCCACTAGTAGGCAGGCAGGCTGCTGCCTTGGGACACGGTGTCATTCTAGGCATTTGCTGGCCCATGCAGCCCCTTCCCAGCGTCCTGCTGCCCTAGAGGTGTCCAGCTCTGGTGCTAATTTTGACAGAGCTCTCCTATATTTACTGCTTAGGTCTGCTCCTAAGAGCCGCTCGTAGCTTGGAAGCTTCAGTCTGGGTGTTACATGCCTGGGAATAACCATGATTCCTCAGCTGTCCTGTCCATCTGTTTCAAACCCTGCCCCTTTCTCTGCTGCTGTGGAGTCCAGTAGCACTGGGAGCATGTACTGATGAAGGAGAAGGGGTGGTTGGGGTGGCCAGGCCCTTGTGGAAGATGCTCAAGACAAAGGGAGGCCAAGGAGTCACTGCCAACCAAAGGAATCTGGGCTTGAGTATGCTCGAGACTGGAATAGGCCCATGCAAACGATGCAGTTTGGAAATCCTCAGTTGCTGGAGGATCATAATAACATCTTCCCTTTGGCATTCGCTGCTTCTGCCTTCCCAAGAGGCAGGGCTGGGAGCATGGGGAGGGCAGAGACTTGGACATCTCTCCACTCAACCTCTCCTGTGTTTCCCCTCCCGGTAGGAGCCCCACCCAGCCCGCCTGTCAGCTGAGAACGCAGCCAGGAGACTAGCCCGGCTCGACACCCATTCCCCCAATGTGTTCGAGAACCTTGGCCAACTCAAGTCCTTCTTCGCGGAGGTAGGAGAAAGGCTCTGCACATGTTAATGGGAACAGAGGGCAGAGAAGCACCCAGCAGGGCTGGCATGGGTGAGAAGGAAGGAGGAAGAGCTTGTGGTCAGACAGGGTAGGGCAGAGGGAGGAGGCTGGGCATGGAGATGCAGTGCCAGAGCTCTGTTGTCTCCCACAGGGCATCAGCGATGGGATCCCCCTGGTACAGGCGGTGGTGCCCAAGAACCAGGCCCATTCCTTCATTACGCAGGGCTCCCCGGATGTGCTGGTGAGTATGAGGCAACTGGAATGGTGAGGTCTTCTCCACTGTGAACTGGGGCACTCCCCTCTTGGCATGTCTCTAGCCCCGTGATTGCCCGAGTGCCTCTGGGCCACTGATTCATCTAATCTTCACATCCCCCTGTAAGCTGAGGGCTCCTCCTTGCCCATTCACCAAGCAGTGGACCTGAAGCACAGAGTAACATAAGAATGTGCCTAGGGTCACACACGGAGTCTGTGGCAGTGTTGGGGCTTGAGCCCAGGTCCCCTGAGTCGCAGCCCAGTGCCTCATGAGTGTGGTGAGCTAGGAATCAGCTTGGTTCGGTCTCTGCTGTTTCAAAGAGCACAGCACCAGCCTGCTGCCATATCTAGCAGACAGGGAAGGGAGCCTGTCCCATAGCCCTTCTGCCTTCAGCAGTGATCCCTGTGGGTTTGCACAGCCAAGCAAGGTCAGCTTAGGGCCTGCCTGGGAGACCACTTAGGAACCGCATTCATGCAGTTAGTAGTGGGGTTACTGACTCTAGCTCTTACTGGGGCCCTTCTCCCCCAAAACTGGTGCAAGGTACTAAATAGTGGGGTGAAGTGCATGCCCCGGAGGGTAAGGAATGATTATAGGCAGACCAGGACAGGTTAGAGAAGTGGGCAGTACACAATGGGATGCAGTACAACAAGGACAAGTGCAGAGTGCTGCCCCTAGGGCGCAAAAATATCCAGCACATCTACTGGCTGGGAAGTGACCCTCTCCACAGCACAGAAGCAGAAAAGGATCTCGGAGTCATAGTGGACTCCAAAATGAACATGAGTCATCAGTGTGACAAAATCATCAGCAAAGCTAACCACACTTTGTCGTGCACCAGCAGATGCATGACGAATAGATCCAAGGAGGTGATACTTCCCCTCTATGTGGCATCGGTCAGACCGCAGTTGGAGTACTGCATCCAGTTTTGGGCACCACACTTCAAGAAGGATGTTGATAGACTCAAGAGGGTCCAGAGGAGGCCACTCATACAGTTAGGGGCTTACAGGACAAAGCCCTATGAGGAGAGATTGAGGGCCCTGGGCCTCTTCAGCCTCCGCAAGAGAAGGCTGACAGGTGACCTTGTGGCCGCCTACAAATTCATTAGGGGGGGTGCAGCAAGGAATCAGAGATGCTCTGTTCACCAGGGCGCCTCTTGGGGTAACAGGGAACAATGGTCACAGACTGACAGGGAGCAGATTTAGGTTGGACATCAGGAAGAACTTCTTCACAGTAGGGTGGCCAAAATTTGGACTGGGCTCCCAAGGCAGGTGGTGCTCTCCCCTACCTTGGGGGTCTTTAAGACAAGGCTGGATAGGCATCTGGCAGGGTCATCTGACCCCAGCGCTCTTTCCTGCCCAGGCAGGGGGTTGGACTTGATGATCTGTTGAGGTCCCTTCCGACCCGAGCATCTATGAATCTATCTATAAGGATACCCCAGCACAGGGCACCACAGACCGGTGACAAGCTGTAAATGCCGGTCCTGACTGCTCAAGGCCTCTGAAAGCCTCCACAAAGAGGCTGTAATCACTGCCTGGGCCCAATGCCCAATTGTCTGCTGCCTCCCAAAATGGCCCTGTGAGACCTCATCCGATGCACACTGCCCCCCTCATGGCCTTGTCTTTGCCTAGGTCACTGTGAGCACCAACGGCCTGCTGGGAACCCATGGCTGGCTGCCCTATGACAAAAACATCTCCAACTACTTCAGCTTCACCAAAGACCCCACCGTCTCCAACACAAAGTGAGTCCAGCCTGGGGGCAGATCCAGCCCCGATTCCTGAGGTGCCGTCCCTTTGGGGGAGTCCAGTAACAGGACATGATGCTGGGTCCTCCAAGGCTTTGTCTAGCCCAGTTTTAACTAGCATGAACAAGGAGACTCCCACTGCCCCTGCCAGATGTCGCCTCCCTCTCTCCATGCCCCATGCCCAGGCTCCATCGCTCCCTGCTACAGCAGCTGCTGAGGGCTCTTCTGCTCGGCAAGGGCAGGTGGCTCCCAGCTCCTCTCTGTGGTTGGCACCAGGTCTCTAACCATACTCCTCTATGCCCTCTGCCAGAACACAGCGCTTTCTCTGTGGTCCCTTTGCCCCGGGTGTAGACCTGTCCTCAAAGACATTGAGCATCTCTCACGACGGCAAGCTCCTCTTCAGCGGTGGGCACTGGGACAACAGCCTGCAGGTCACATCGCTGAGTAAAGGGAAGGTCATCGGGCACATCACCCGGCACATCGGTAAGGTGCAAAGGCAGGCAAGGGGGGCAGGAAGCCACTGAAGTACAGGGCACTTGTCCCCTGAGAGTATCTCCTGGCCTGCAGGCCCCTCAGTCACCCCTCTGACTCCAGACTGCCATGTGGGTCCGGTCTCACCCAGCTCCTCCGTAGCTCTGCCCAACATACCTCAGTCTTGGCCTGCAGCTCCCTGCAGCATTGCTGCCCTGTCCCGCCACACCCTGGCCCTGTCCCGCCACACCCTGACCCTGTCACAGCTTTGCTAATGACTTTTACGGTGACCCAGAATTTCCCCCCCAGCCAGTCCATCCCACACTCTGCCTTGGCCAGATGCTTCCAGCTGATCAGCCGTGGGATTGATTGGGGTAAAGGTGCTAGTATGAGACTGGCGGCCACTCTTCACATGATCTGGTGGAACCCCCAGAGCTATTCTTGCTCTTCTGAGCCCATCCCGTGATGCCTCCCATTTTTTGGTCAAAGTAAAGACCTGTTGCAAAGGAATGTGTGAGGTTAGGAGGTGGCAGCCTTCCCTGTCACTGACAGTCCACAACCCTGTGGGTCTGGAGAACCCAGTTCCATCGCTTCAGACAATGCTTCTGGGCTTGGTTTTGGTTGAAACTTTTCTGGTAACCCATGGGGCCCTGATCCCAGGTCAAGGTCCCCTGGGGATGGAGTCATCAGCTCAGCAGCACTGTCTTGTGTCTCTCCCCTTTGCAGATGTGGTCACCTGCCTGGCACTGGATCTCTGTGGGATCTATCTCATTTCCGGGTCCCGGGACACCACCTGCATGGTCTGGCAGGTCCTGCAGCAGGTAAGGCAGGGGCCCAATCAGCCCAGCTCCATTGGGACCCTTGGCTCTTGGTTCTGCTTCCTAGTTCTCTGGCTGTGGGTTTGAGGAGGCTGCAGGGCTGACCTTCTCTTCTTCCCCAGAGGGGGACTTCATGGTAAAGTGTTTACCTGAATCTCAGCCACGGCAAGGAGTATATCTGCTCCTCTGTATGTTGCTGTAGTGATGTGCTGGGACTGAGGAAGGCTGCCCCACACTGTGGAAGTCCTTTGATCCACAACCTTCTTGCTATCTAAGCCCTTGTCTTTTCCACAGCTTTGCTGGTGCCCCTTATTCCTGACCCCCAGACCCAGCCTCCTCCACCACTGTGCCAATGCCCCTACACTCCCCTTGCTGTCCCAGCTTGGAGCCCTTTATAAGCACGGATTCCCTGTCATGTCACATTGCTCAGGAGCATTATGCCACAACCTGTGGCCTCATAGATGCCTGGTGGCAAATCTGCTGGAGTCTATCTGTGCCAAAAGGCCCTGAGCTCTGCTCTTCTCTGCTGACAGTGAAAGCAGGTGTGGCAGGATCACTGGCATTTCTCCAGGCCTTTCCAGGCAAGGTCACTGCAGTGGTTTCTCCCACTGCGCTCAGCTGTGGAGCCCGTTAAAACATCATCAGTGATTTTTTTTTTTTTTTTTTTGCATGGCGGTTCCAGGCTCTTCCAGTTCTCAGCGCCTGGTCGGGTTTTCGTGTGCTCACACTGGGATCACTTAGCTTCCTCCACACCCCCACAGACCACCTGCTCCACTGCTCTAACTCAGTGGCAGCTCTCGTGCATTTGCTGGGGCCTGTCGGGAGGAGGAAGGTGGGTCTGTCAACTGAGCCTCTGATTATCTCCAGGGTGGGTTTTCCTGCGGCCTGGCCCCCAAGCCCATCCAAGTGCTCTATGGACACAACGATGAGGTCACATGCGTCGCCATCAGGACCGAGTTGGACATGGCTGTGTCAGGGTCAAAGGTGAGGTACCGTGTTGGAGGAAGAGGACCAGGACTAAGAACTCGCATCAACCCTCTGTGTCTCATGTGCCAGCCTGAGTATTTCACCATCCTCAGCAGCTGGGCTTTTTGGGGATGGCATTCACATGGTACCTAGTGTTCCTAGATTATCAGGGCAGCTTCTTTCAGTGCCCCCTCTCCTTCCATTCCCTGGGGATCTAAGGTGGAGGGCCAAGGGCACCACAAACATGTGATGGGGCCTTGCCCCAGGAAGGAAAGTGGTGGATTCCAGATGTGGGATAATTAGACATTGGGGGGACCCTAGCAAAAGTCACTGGCAAGATGAACAGATCTAGCCTTATTCTCCAAGAGGCCCAAGGAGTTTAGACACAATGGGGATGAGGCACACAGATCCCTTAGTCACACCCTAACGGCCCTGTCACTCTGCTTGCTCCACAGGATGGCACCATCATCATTCACACCATTCGCCGGGGCCTTTTCATGAGGTCAATCAAGCCGCCCTGTGAGAGCTCACTGCCTGCCACAATCTCAAACCTCACTGTGGGGCTGGAGGGACAGATTGTCATCCAGACTACCGTGGAAGGGCGATCCTCACTAAAGGTGAGCCAGCAGAGCATCCCGGAAAAATTACACAGCCGTTCCTTCAGGAATCGAGTAGCAACCATTGAGAGACACCAGGTGTCCTCTGCAGCACGGGGCATGGAGCATTTGGGCATAACCTACCTGATCACTCCCTTAATACTTACAAATTGCTTACTGTAGTATGCAGCCTATCACTTAGAAACAGCCTCAGTACTGAAGGAGTAGAGGGTTGCTGATGTAAGTTCAGTGTTTAAAAAGGGCTCCAGGGGGGAACCAGGGAACTACAGGCCAGTGGGGACATCTATACAAGATGTGTACTGTAGAGTAGACTAATTACCTCTGCAGTAAAGGTCTCAGCATCTACATGCAGGGGGTCCCTATTAGGCCCCAAGAAACGAATACATTCTGCAGCAGTATAGTACTTGTAAATGCAAATACTATACTGCTGCAGAGTTTTTTACTCCACAGCAATGCACATGTAGACACTGATGCGACTGACTGGGGCACTTGGTCCTGTTCTTAATCCCCTTCTTGTCTGTCTCGAAGGACAAGTTTGCCCTACACCTTTACTCTGTCAATGGCAAGCACCTGGCTTCCGTCTCGCTGGATGAGGAGATTACGTCCATGTGTGTCACAGAGGAGTTCGTGGTGCTGGGAACGATGCAGTGTTCACTCCAGATCCGGGACCTGCGGAAGTAAGGAGCATCTTGTTGCTTCTCTCTGGAGTGGCACCAGCAAACAATGCTGTGAGTCATTCTTTCCCCCTTCTCCCGCTGCCCTCTGTTTAAATGCCCCTGTCTCTGCCGTTCCAGCCTCCAAGCAGCCATGCCACCAATGCCCATGAAAGTTCCTGTTCACAGTGTGTCTGTGACCAAGGAGAAGAGCCACATCCTGGTGGGGCTGGAGGATGGGAAGCTGATCGTGGTGGGAGCAGGCCAGCCCTCGGAGGTAAATGGACACTGTCCCCTCCCCTTCTAGTACCTCCAGGGGATTGCACCTAGGATGCTATTCCTGGGCCATCCCAGATGCAGGCCAGAGCACAAGGGAGTCAATCGATGAGAGGGAGGGGGAGATGGGCCTGTAGTAGGATGACAGCAAGGGGGTAGCACTTTCTGGCTGGCCTGGAAGCCTGGGGCATTAGTGACCTCAGAGCAGCAGGTCTGGTAACAGGTGTAGGTGTCATGCACAGCCCCCCATATGCAGAATGATGGTGGGGCCATCTGCCCCAGCCAAAGAGCAAAGTCCTAACCCACTCGGACTTGAGTCTCAGGCCGCAATGCCCCAAAAACCCAGGCAGGGAAGAGCCCCTCCTGTCTGGAGGGTGAATTGGCGAAGGCAGGCTCAGGGCAGTCATCCTGTGTGCTCTGCTCAGGCCCCCGCTGCACTGATTTGAGTGCTAGGGGATAAGCTCTGATCCTCATGGCTGATGTGGGGTCAGACAGCCCAGCCATGGCTCAATGCTGATCCATGAGCTGAGGCTGTCCAAGGCCCTGATTCAGCAAAGCGCAGGAGCGATCCCATCTCAGGTCCCCAAAGCAGGAGCCCAGGTGCTCTGCTGAGCTGGGCCTGTACCCCAGCCCCCAAGGGATTGACCCCTCCTCACCCGTCTCCCCCCAGGTGCGAACGGGGCAGTTCCACAGGCGGCTGTGGCGTTCCACGCGGCGCATCTCCCAAGTCTCGTCCGGAGAAACCGAGTACAACCCGCCCGAGTCCAAGTGAGGGTCTGGATAGAGCTTGACCTGTCCTGGGCTGGGCTTCCTCAGGCATTTCTGGGCAGAGGTATCCTGCATCAAGAGGCCTCTGTAACATGGAGGGAATGGAAAGACCCAGTCTCGTCACTGGCATTGGCTTGCAGTTGTCTGAGGAGTGTGCTGAGAGCCTTGCATCTCCAGCGCTTGGCTGTCCTGGGGGATCTCGGCTACTGACTCTTAGGGCTGTGACAGGAGCACAGAGATCTCATGTAGGGAATGTGGCCTGGGGAACCCCTTTCCAAACGGGAGATCTACACCCACTTGAAGTGATGCTTCTGGCCTTCCAAGGCGGGCTATGCAGAGGACACTCCAACACCCGCCAGTTCCCTGATTCTTTCCTGTGGAGCTTGAAGTCAGAATTATTTGTATTATCCTTTTGGGGGTGGGGGGTCTTTTTTCTTTTCCTAAAACACTGGAGCAACTGGAGGACGAGGATGGGAGGGCGACGGCGCTGCCCCACTGCCTGTGCCCCCTGTGGGCCATCCGGGATCACCCCTGTAGAAACCAGATGGCGACTGCAGCTGCGTGAGCAGCCCTCCTCTTTGGGTGGCCTTATCCAGAGCTTGTTGCACTACGTTACAGACCTTGTACCAAAGGTCCTTCAGGCAGGAGGCCGGTCTGCTTCAGAAAAGCTTTAATGTCTCGAGATACTGCTGAGAGCCTGTTTCCTTTCCCCCCAGAGGGAGCATATGTTGGGGGGGCAACGTTTGATAGGTAACAGGGAAATTCCTGCTTCTCTTGAACTCACCCCAGCATCCCAGATGTACATAAAAACCCCTTTGCTGGGAAAGAAGAGTGCCCCCCATCCACCGGGGTCTTTCAAAAGATGGCTTGTGAGCTCTCCGAGGACCAAGGCAACAACACCCGGGGGCTCTGCTGACAGTGGACTCATGGCACGAGGGCCCCAGCCAACTTTTTCTATAGATTTTTATCTTTTTTAAAAAAAGCAAATAAACGGGTACAATCACATCGTCTCCCGAGACTCTCGTATCTTCCACAGACCGCGAGCGGGAGAGGCTCGTTGGATGACTTCATCAGCAATAAAACCCTGCCTTTTGTAAGCTTTGCCTTCACCCTGTGGGTCCATTGCTGCGCAGAGCTCCGGGCAAGCTGGCTGCATTTGGTCTCTTGGTTGCACTTTGGATACCTCTGCTTGTCAGGGCAGGTGGAAGAGGATTGTTTTTGGACAGTTGGGAGGGGCTGGCGCTGTGCAACAAAGGGTGGCATGGGCATGGGGACTTGTGGGTTTGCCTCTTCCAGCAAGATCAGCTGTCAGTGGGAACGTGCACATCCCACCTGCTTCTCCAGGGAGTATGGAGCCGTCTCCAGAGCAGGGTGTTTCCACAGGGTACCCTGGAGCCCAGGCAGGGTCTTTTCTAGCTTTAAAAGGGCTTGGCTGAAGCCAATGGCCGTGAACGTTAGCAGTGAAGATGTCAGGTAGCAGAAGGTTGTGATGCTGAGCTTTTTCTTTGCGTTTCTCGCTCGTCTCAATATTGACCTCATCCAAAAGCTCCCCTTGTCTGTCTGTCTATCAGCCATCTCTCCATCCATCGTTTTGCTCATGCATCAAGTGCTTTAACCCAGGAAGAGGTTTGGTTTTTGCAGCCAATTGCCAACACTTGCCTGCTCTTACCCAACCTATCTGAATCCCATAGACTCCCAGGCCCCTGATTGTCACAAGGTTTGGGAACAGGTCCCATTCTATGCCTGATCATCTTGCTGCTCCGGAGGATTAAGGGCAAGGTGGGGAGTGAGATGGATATTTGGACTTGTTTGGAAGCAGCGGTTGGAGTCTATGGAGCATCTGTGCTGAGGGAGCCTTCTGGAAATAACACCCTCATCCCCATCCAGAGACGCATGGTAACTGTAGGGAGCTCCATTGGAAATGGAGAGCTCCATGATCTCCATACCTGATGTGTGACCCCCTTCCTGGAGTATGAGGATACAGGTGGCTCAGAAAGGAAGGGAATGGAGCAGGCCTGGTAGGTGCCATCCCAGTAACCGAGCCAGGAAGAGATGCAGGTCTCCCTACCCAGCATCCTCCCATGTTCAGTGACATAGCATCAAGACCATGGCCTGGAGACGGGAGTGCTGTCTCCCCATGCCCGGACGTGCCTCCTAGACGTCATCGAGACACAGCGAGGGTCCTTGGCAAGGGGAGTCAGGCTGGGGGTGCAAAGAGCAGCACGTTGGAAAGTAGCGTCGAGTCTTCAGCGCAACTCTGATGAGCTCGCAAGCCACTGCCCTCCATCCCACTGGCCATGCACTTGGCTTTTATTAGTTGCAGCATTGGGTTAATTAAAAACCATAGCCCCTTGTTTGATCTCGGCCCACAGCCTTCCTTCACAGACTGTTTGTGTTGAACTGTAGCCATTGTCTGTCCTGAATGATTTGGACTTTCTTTTCCCTTCCTCGCCTTGACACCTCCTGGCTACAAGCAGGGCGTCAGCTGCCTTGGATTCCAGCAGCTGAGAGGAAAGGCACCAGGCACGGCACAGCTCACACTGGAGAATATATCTGCTGCCGGCCCGGGACAGTCTGCAAAAGCTAACTTGCAAAGCCGAAGAGCAGAGACCCCTTTAAAAAGGGAATGTTTGGCTGGTCACCCACCAAAGCCGGTTCCACGTGGACGAGGCGATCCCCACGGGTGGCTGGCGAGATCCACTGCTGGCAGTGCCTCGCTTCTTGTCTTTTATTTTTACTCTTTTAAGAGGAGAAACAGGGTCAGGCAGGAAGCTGAAACAGTGTCCCCAGCCTCCCTCCTGGGGCAGAGATACCAGCTGGAACCACACCAAGTGCAATATTTGCATCTCGTTGAGAAGAATGTTTTTTGTTAACTGCGTGTTCTGTGTCGCGGTTTGTATGTATGTAATATATATATATAAAATATATATATATATATATAGTTTTTTGTAACTTTTTTGAATGATGATGTACATGTAAAGATTTCTACCTTCTTTTTTCCTTCTTAAAAAAAAGAAAAAAGGGATTTTAAGTGATAGGAGCTTCCCTAAACACTGCTGGCTTTTATAGAGTAGGGAGTAAGAGGTCAGCCTCAGCGTGGATTTGTCCTTCATCCTTCTGAGATTGGCGTGGGTCAAGGGAAGCTCAGCTGGGCTTTCCTGACTTGTCTTCTGAAGATACTTGAATTCACTGGGTACCTGCTGTGTCCTCCTACCTGAAGTCATTGGGTTTCTTTTCCCTTTGCCCTCTTTTCATTTTGCTTTTACCTCCTCTGGTTGTACAGAGTCAAGATGCAGTTTTCTGCAGTTATATCTCCTGCTTCATTTCTCCTGTCCTTCACTCGCAGGAGTGATTGGGCCGTAGCTGGGAAATGCCTTAGTGTGAGTGTGGGGGGGGGGGGGGGGGGGAAAAAACCCCCTTTTTTGCTTGGGGGTCTAGGGTTCGGGTGCCCTTTTTTGTT